AAAAAACGACCCGAGGGGGGAAATGGGGGATGATGAGAAAGTTTTAAAGAAAAAAAAATAAGAAAAAAAAAAACAAAAAAAAAAAAAGAAAAGAAAAGAAAATATACGAGAAGTTTAACTTTCAGAGCTGTACATAAGGCCGGGGCGTGTAGAAAACCCGTTTTTACCAATACCGAAACCACTGGATGTTATTTTAAATAAAGCGCGTGAGAAGCCCGGCGCCTCGCTGTGCTCTTGGGGGGGTGCGCCGGGATCCCTTTTTCCCCCCCTCCACAGCAGGGTCTGCTGTTCCTTTTCCCTTCTAGGACCCGCTTTTCCCTTCCAGGACCTCGCGTGCACCCCGTGTTCAGGTCGTCGGGCGGTCAGGGGTCACGTGGAGTGCGCTTACTTCCGGTCACGTGACAGAACCGCGCTTCCGGTCACGTGTTGAACGTGTTTCCGATCACGTGTGGGGTACTGGCGGAAGCGGTTCGCTGGCGCCGGGCGGAAGTGGGGCGGTGGCGGCAGCGGCGGACCCGGGGCCATGGAGGTGGGGACGGAGCGGGATGGAAACGGCGGGGGGAAACCGGGGGGGACCGTGAGGAGCCGCGGGGGTGGGCGTGGGGCTGCGGGCACCGGGAGCGGGGATAACGGGAGCGGGGCCCGGCCCCGGCCTTGTCTGTCCGCAGGAGCCCGGCCCCGGTCCGGCCGCGCAGAGCCCGGCGGAGCGCAGCGCCCCGGGAGCGGAAGGTGAGGGGGGGGAGGAAGGGAGGGAGGTCGCGGTGTCCCCGGTAGGGGGTGTGCCGTTATTGGGGAGACCCGTTATTGCGGTGTGCCGTTATTGGGGTGCGGCGTTATTGGGGAGACCCGTTGTTGGGGTGACCCGGTGCTGGGATGTGCCGTGGGTTTGAGTCTTCTGGCGTCGGGGTGTCTCTGCGTTGGGATCTCTGACGTTTTGGGCTCCCCTGCTGTTGTGGCTCGTGCTGTTTGGGGGCATCTCCTGTTTTTGGGGTCTCCTGGTGTTGGGGTCTCCCACGTTCTGAGGCGTCTCACATTTGGGGTTTCTTGTATCATTGTGCCCCATCTTTTGAGGTGCCCTGTTCTGAGCTCCCCTTCCTGCTGGCCGCCCCTCATGCTGCTCCCCCCCCCCAGGAGAGCCCCTCCGTGGTCCCTACACGGCCTTCATGAAGTCACACCGCTGCTACGACCTCATCCCCACCAGCTCCAAACTCGTCGTCTTCGACACCTCCCTGCAGGTAGGTTGGGGGGGGAGGGGGGTTGGGGGGCCCGGCAGGGGCCCCGCCCGGGGGGGGGGGGGGGGGGTCCCGACATCCCCCTCCTCCTCCGTGTCCCCGCTGTAGGTGAAGAAGGCTTTCTTTGCACTGGTCACCAATGGTGTGCGGGCAGCTCCGCTGTGGGACAGCAAAAAGCAGAGCTTTGTGGGTGAGCGCTTTGTGGGGAGGGGGGCTGGACGGTGGGGGGGGGGGGGGCAGGACCCCACTTACCCCCCCACCCTGCAGGCATGCTGACCATCACCGACTTCATCAACATCCTGCACCGCTACTACAAGTCACCCATGGTAGGGGGTGGTGCTGGGGGGGGGGGGGGGCCCCCCCCCAACCCGGGGGGGGGGGGGGGGGGGGGGGGGGGCCCCATTGGATGAACCTGGGGGTTCCTCGTGGTGCTCAGGTGCAGATCTACGAGCTGGAGGAGCACAAAATTGAGACGTGGAGAGGTAACAGAGCTGCCGCCTCCCGCTGCCCCATCCCTGTGTGGCTGCCCCACAGCTGAGCCTCCCCTCCCCACAGAGGTGTACCTGCAGGACTCCTTCAAGCCGCTGGTCTGCATCTCCCCCAGTGCCAGGTGGGGGTTGTGGGGGGGTTGTG